CGGGTTAATTGAATTTACCAAACATTATTTTTTATATAAAAATGAATTTTGGTTTTATGTTTTAGGGTTTTAAAAAGTGAATAAAATACCTAATTTAAAACAAGAAAAACTTACTCATTTTCTTAATTTTTGAAAAAGTTACAGGGCATTCATTCTCCTTGTAATTTCAGTTGCTTTAGATTTGGCCACCAGTGTATACAAAAGAAAAATAGGTATCAACGCATTTCACTGATATTTAATAAAAGTTAATGGTAATAAATTTTGTTTACGACCATAATGTAATACGACAAAAATGAATAAAATGGAACACATTGCCCTTACCCCCTCAAAAACAAATAAATGGATCTGGCGAAAAAAAAAAAAAAAACAAACAAAACCAGAAGACACGAACCCAGGTCGCAAATAAATAACACATACACTAATAAATAAAAGGGCATACCAAGCGTATAATAAATATCCGATAATAAATAGCTAAAAATAAGGGATTTATGTAAACGTTTTCATTTATTTTAGCTTGCCGCGTTAACCACGCTCTGCTGTTAAACAAACAATGGCATTCCAGCGGAACTGGATAAGCATCTGTAATTTTGATTAATGAATTAAAATAAGTTTAATGACAAATGAACGTAAGATCTATGGAAGTATAATTACGATAGAAGACCCACCGAACAAAATGATGCAAGGACTGCGGACCAACAGAAATATAATCCCATTATGCGTTATGGGCGGGTTTTTAAACGCAATAACAAAGAGTAGGCCTGTAAAAATAATTACAAACAAAATGGTTGTAAACAAGTAACACGAGGGAAAGAGAAAAATAAAAGTTGTTTTTTTTTATTGAAAAAATAATTTTGGGAATAAGCAAGACTATTTTGAAATAAGAAAGAAAATCCCCATTATTTGTTTTCCTTTTAAATGCCCAACCTATCTACCAAACAAAAAACTCTAAATTTCTAATAGCTTCAGAGAGCCTACCATTAATGTTTTGTTTGTCACGCGATGCCAACACTTTAAAATATTTTGTTTCAATTGTTTGTGCTCTTTGAACGAGTCGTAGGAACGTGACCATTTTTAGTTCCAAAGAAATATTTTACAAAAACACAGCCGAGAGTGTCCTGTTTCAGCTCATATAAACGTTTATAACCGCTGACTTTATTATCTCCTTTGTCCTATGGCTTCAGGAGGTGTATTTCAAATGCGCCTCATTAAAATAAGATTCTTAGGCCTAAGGTTAAATTAGACGAAATTCAGGTGATACTGTTGGAATGTCCAAGGTCTACTGCCAAAATGTTTGCGTGCCCAAGGCTTTAATATACCCTCCAGAATATTTTCGCGACAGTATTCCGCATTTATTCTGACGCCACGGTCGATTAATACGAGCGGAGAGCGACACTTTTACTATGGCCGGCGCTTGAGTTCTGGTGGCCAACCAAAGGTGCACATTTTCACCTGACCTCTTTGGCAAGTAAACACGAACAAAGCAAAGGCTATAGTCGTGCGGGGCTGACCATGTGTTACCCTTCAACACTACAATATGTTAGAAGCCCCCTTATATCCAAATCCATTTTGAAAGATTTCGCTTTGGAAATTATGTCACCAGGGACATTTGCCAAATATTTACGCACACCGTCGCGCTTTTAGTTGTGTGGTCCATTTTACAGCTAAATATAATCCAATGGTTATCCAAAATACTAGACTTCTTCTTTGTCTTTAACTCTCTTCTCAGACGTGTCGATTGGCTTCAATTGTGTAATCAGGAGTTTTTTCTGCTTTTGGTTCATTTGAACCCCAAAAAATATTTTGCGAAAGTATGAGGCCCCTCTGTATCTCCAAATTTAGACTAATCTATATGATATGCTTATCTACGATATTTCGCCATATTTGTCAACGAAATCAGCAAAAAACAGCCAGAAGTTCGCCTTTTGTGTATTTCGGATGTCGCCTGTAAGTATTTTTGGTAATTTTCCACACAAAATTTAGTGGTCCATTCTACCCGCTGTCCTCAACTCTAACTTCATGCGAGATTTCGTGTCCGTTAGTTTCTATTTGTGACTTTTATAACGGCAGCGAAATCAGAAACATTTTTAGTTGTTGGTCCATTTTAACCCATAAATATATTGCGGACATCTTTGAAAACAATAGGCCAAACAATTCTAAGTCTAACCCTACCCTTATGAAAATGTTCGTAATGATCGGACGATAATTGCAATCTGTATATAAAAACCCCAACCTGTGTTGTAACGTGAAAAAATATTACAAAATATTATAAGTCAAATTGAAACAAGTAAGCAAAGGCTATAGTAGTGCGGGGCCGACCATGTGATACCCTACAACACTACAATATGTTAGAAGCCCCCTTATGTCCAAATCCATTTTGGCAGATTTCGCTTTTAAAATTATGTCACGGAGCACTGCCCAGATATTACTAGCATTTTGACCAGGGACATTTAACCAATATTTACGAACTTCGTCGTGCTGTTAGTTGTAGTGGTCCATTTTACAGATAAATATAATCCAATGGTCATACATAATGCTAAACTTCTTCCCTGTCCCTAACTTTCTTCTCCAGCGTGTCGATTGGCTTCAATTGTATGATTAGGAAATTCTCCCTGTTTTTGAATATTGTGCGATCATCTCCAAAAGCAAGAGGCCCCTCTGTATCTCTAAATTTAGACTCATCTATACGATTTGCTTGTCTAGGATATTTGGCTATATTCGTCAACGAAATCAGCAAAAAAAGGCAGAGGTTCGCATTTTGTGTATTTCGGCTATCGCCTGTAAATAATGTTGGTATTTTTCAGACAAAAGTAGTGGTTCATTCTACCCGCTGTCCTAAACTCTAACTAAATGCGAGATTTCGTGTCCATTAGTTTCTATTTGTGACCTTTATAACGGCTGCAAAATCAGGAATATTTTAGTTGTTGGTCCATTTCAACCCCTAAATATACTGCGGACATCTTTGAAAACAATAGGCCTAGCCCTTCTGAGCCTAACCCTACCCTTTTTGTAAAGATCGGACGATAATTGCAATCTGTATATAATATCCCAAACCTGTGTTGTATACCTTAATATTATAAGTCAAATTGAAAAAATCGCATGCGATAAAAAATATGAAAAAATAAAAAAATGTCACAAAATACTACAAAATCTATATTAACAACATTTTTGACCTATTTTTATTCGATTTTTTTAGATTTTGTTCTTTTATGTTAAGAGAGCGTTCTGAATTGGCAAAATTTGTCAAAATATACAAACCTTTGTATATACACATTATGTATATTTCGCTATATATATCCGATATATTTACTATCGGTATCTACGTAACGGTCGCCGGGACTAAAAATATTCGCGGTTTAATGGAAATTTGACTTTTATTTAACATAAATGTATAGTCTTTTTCACCCACTAACCATCCCGATGACCATCAAAATTGGAAAGCTTCTGCCCGAAGCTCTAGCCCCATGCTAATTTACGCGTCGATTGGTCCATAATTGCGACCTATAGAGCAACTGCAAAATCAAATTTTTCAGTTTTTGGTCCATTTCGACCCCTAAATATTATGCGATCATCTCCAAAAGAAATAGGGTTCTATTCTGACCTTAACCCCACCTCCTTTCTACATTTCGTGAAGATCGGGCCATAATTGCGACCTGTAGAGTGATTACAAATTAACATGGACAGACGGACAGACGGACGGACATACATAGCTAGATCGAGTCAGCTCGGCGAGCTAGGAAGATCCATATGTACTTTCCTATGTGGGAAACCAATATTTCGTGGTGTTACATAATTTTTGGCCCAATCAAACTTATAATACCCCCAACACATAGTGTTGTAGGGTATAAAAATCGCATGCGATAAAAAATATGAAAAAAAAAATAAAAATATGTCACAGAATAATACAAAATCTATATTAACATCATTATTAGCATCTATTTATGCGATTTTTTAAGATTTTATAGTTTTATGCCAAGAAGGCATTCTGAATTGACAAAATTTGTCAAATATATCCGATATATTAGCTATTGGTATCTACATAACGGTCAGAATTGACCTGTTCGTCTATTTGTGATTTCGCTGGGATTAAAAATATTCGCGGTTTAATAGAAAATTTGACATTTATTTAACACAAATATTATGGTCGTGAAGATCGGGCCATAATTACGACCTGTAGAGTGATTACAAATTAACATGGACAGACGGACGGACGGACATACATAGCTAGATCGCCTCAGCTCGGCGAGATAGAAAGATCCATATGTACTTTCCTATGTGGGAAACCAATATTTCGTGGTGTTACATAATTTTTGGGCCAATCAAACTTATAATACCCCCAACACATAGTGTTGTAGGGTATAAAAAAAGTCGCTATGAAAAAATACAATAAATGACTTTATAAAAATTGAAACATGAGTCGAAATTTAGATAATACCAAATCTGGTCAGGCAAATAATAATAAAAATATTTTTAGTCATTTAAAAGTATTCGAATTTTGAACGAGAAAGGATTGTGGAATTCGGACAAGAGTTATGAGCGGAATTTTTGCGTTCATTTACAGCTAAGCCAATACAGTTTATGAAGTATCTATGCGCCAAATATAGTGTTTTCTGCACTCGACCATGACATATATACGTTAATGCCAGTGTATTTACTTTAAGATTTTCTGACGATTATTCCCTTTTTACAACAACATTAGAAAGGATGTTTAAATAAATTACATCTCATTTACTTAATATTGTATTAAACAATTTACAGAACTAACTAGAAGCACTTCTCTGAAAGTAAAACCATTATAAATGATGAACCGATTCTGTGGTCATGCCAGATGCCAAACAAATTCCTGACTTACAATTTGTTTTTTTTTTTCCCTTCACTCTCGCCAAGTAAAGTTTTAGAATTTCCCTTTACTTTATGTGAAATATATTTATATTTTCCTCCTTGTTAACAATGAAACACTAAGCAACAAATTTTCCTTTTTTCCTTTTTTTGCCTTGGTGCAGATCTGCTTACCATTAAATATCCACATGGACGAGCACCAGCGGAAACGAATGCGGCGGTGGTGACAGGAACAACGGGGCATCACAGCTTAAGTCGTAGTAATGATGGTTTATTAAATGGCAGTGGGACTGTGGACTTTCAACCGGATTTACTGCCATCCTATGCCAGTCAGAAAACCAAAAGTATGCAACATCAAAATCAACAGCAGGACTTTATGTATAGTCCTGTGGTTACACCCGGCTCAACCACCACCAACTCAACCACAAAGACAATAAATTCCCACGAAGACCAACAGCCACTTCATCAATTTGCTTCCAGCAACTCGATGACGTCGGCAACGCTGCCACCACCGGCCAGCCAAGGCGGTGTAGGTGCTAACAATAGTCGCAGCAAATACAATGCCAGTGCCCAAGATTATTTACAGAATAGATTTGGCTCTATTAGCCGGAAACAAAGGGAGAAAAGTCAAGAGAAACTGAGTGCAGGCGTTGTCACAAGTTCTCTAAACTTGACAAGAACTTCGCCAGTTAGTGAGATTCTCAGTGCCACGCGTCCTTCGAAATCAATGTTTATGCCGCAGCGCACCGTCTGCAGTGCCACAACAACGGCCACCCCCACCGACACCAGTAGTACTTATGAATATCGTCAACCACCCCCACCGCCCTACAATGCCACCCATCGTACGACGGGTAATTTGTTACTAGCCAGACGTACCAGTTTCAATAGTCACAACGACACCAACATCGAGGACTCAACTCGTAATAGTCACACGAAAGATCAAGGCTATCGGGAGAGTGGCATAGCGGCGCTGTATGAAACAACGGCCCGTCAAACGATTGTGACAGCCTCGCCATCGATGAGTTTTCCTACAACAATAACGGGCTTTCCAAATACGGCCACAATATCGCCACGACGACAATTGCTGTGATAAATTTGTATCTCAAGAACAAAAAAAAAAAAAAAAAAGGAAGAGTGAATAAAAGACTTAAAATGGAATAAGGTGGAAAAGGAGTGGAGCGGTATGCTTGCAGAATACCTTTTGTATGTATATGGTATATGAGGACAAAAAACCCTGGAAGATGGGTCACTAAGTTTGGCAGGTTGACTTTATTTTTTGTGGTGGTTTGCGGTGAAAAGTCAAGATGGCATTTGTATTCCGACCTAATGGCTGCGGGCTGCCACCATCGGACCACATGATCACCAACATACCTACAAACATACTACTGCGTTGTGGGCAAACATATATGCAGCTATCGTTGTAATCGTAATCATCATTCCCTTGGGCAGTTGAAGCAGTCACGTTAACAGTTGTTGCATTCCCCAGGTTAATGCTGTCAAACTGTTGCAGTGACATGGAGACTGATGAAATGATGATGGCGTCCATCGTTGTCGGACACATTGCCATCATATACACATACATATATACATTTACTACTGCTGCTTTTGACACTGATGATGTGTCAGTGAGTCATACCCAAAACCATACACACACTGGGTTTTCACCTGCAGCAGCATTATTTATTAGCCATAATTGGATATGCAATGGGGTCATCGTCGGCACCTGGGGCCTAAACTACAGCTCAGACAGCTAGCTCTCAATTATACATTAAATTGCCTGGAATTAACACTGGAGGACGATGTTTGCAATTTCAAAGTTAATGGGTGATCCTTTATTCAACACCTACTTTAAGACTTAAAATATTTTAAGAAAAGTAAGTCAGAGCGAAAGAGAGAGAGAGAACCTTGACAGATGTGTCAAATGCAGTTACAGAATTTGCATTCGCTAACAATGTAAAAATATTTTGATATGGTAGAAAATTCCATTTGCAAATGTTAATAAATGATGTGGCTGTCATGAAAAGGAATGATATTTAGGAAAAAGGAATGGGAAAATGTTTTGCATTCAAAGGTTCTCAAAATAGAATATATATTTGTAAAATTAAATGGTAATCGAGAAGAGAAGATAAGATAATAAGGGAATTATTTTAAGTTATAAATAACTTGATTAAACATTGAAATATAATATTAATTCAATTAAACCACAAAAGATAAGGAAAATTAAATTTGAAAAAAACACTAAACTTCTTACTTTTAACCAGAAAGACAGATGCAAATTCGTGTTATACACTCTACCGTAGAAGAAGGGAATTTCTCATTCTATACGAAACACCAAAAAGTTTTCGTTAGAGACCCCTTAAAATATAAAAGGGGTGTTTTAAATACCCTCGACCCTAGTACGGAAATATACATTTTAAAGCCCACAAATTATATACAGGGTGAGATAAAAAAACTGCAACAAAATCAAACTCCAACATTTTTACATTTTTTCAATTTTATTGTATGAAAGCAAACAATATCGGAAATGGCATCAAATTATAGAATAATTTTAGAATTCGAATTGGTCACCTTAGGCTCCAATTATCAAACGGCCAATGAAACCGTCACACGCTGCCCGAATGTTGCTCTGCGGTATTTTGACCCATTCCCGCATAGCGCTTGCTTGAGGTGATCGACACTTTGGTATATTTTAGTGCCGACCTTGCTTTCCAAAATACTCCAGAATACTCCAATGAAGCGAGGAACCTCATTTTGTAACCATTCTTGCGAGGCGCGTGCTGAGTGCGATGGTACTGAGTACTGGTGGAATGTCCCAGGTCTTCGGCAAAATTGTTTACGTTTCCAAGACTTTAATACACAGAATTTTTTCGCGATATATTCGCATTTATTCTGATGCCACGGTCGATTAATACGAGCGGAGAGCGAACATCGGCTGTTATGGCGGCCCACACCATCATCATGGCCGGCGCTTGAGTTCTGGTGGACAACCAAAGGTGCACATTATCAGCTGACCTCTTTGGCAAGTAAACACGATCATTTTGTCTGTTTACAAACTGCTGGACAACGAATGTTTTCTCATCGGAGAAAACCAAATTCGGCAGTTCACCACTTTCGGCCAAGCGAAGCAACTCTTTAGCTCTTTTGGGTCTATTTTCCTTCTATTACGTGTAAGTTCTTGCACTTTTTGGAATTTCAATGGCTTTACCCCGAGCTCATTTTTCAATATTTGCCAAATGGAATATTGCGATATGTTCAGCTCACGAGCCATTTTTCGGTCACTGCGACGCGGGTTTCTTTACTTTTAGAACCATTTCTGCTGACGTTGCTGCTTTCTTCCGTCCACTGCATAATGACTTGTCACTGGAATAATTTTAACAGCTGTCGTACGAGTGGCTTAGAAATGACAGCAGTCTGAAGCTAGTTGCAGTTTTTTCATAATTTGCAGTTTTTTATAATTTTAGCGACATTATTCACCGGAATTATTTCAAAATTTAGTATTTTAAGTTCATATTGGATACTACAGCCTATGACAGAAAATTGACTATGTAGGCCCCTGTATACTTGATCAGTTTGAAATTCTATGCCGATTTGACGATGACCGTCCGTCCATCAGTCCGACTGTGGAAATCATTCTAGCGTCCGAACGAATTGAAGTAGGTTGATAACATTTCACTCAGATATGTGTTTCGTCTGCAAGATTTTGGTATTGAAAATGGGCTATATAGGTCCACGTATAGTTATAGCCCCCAAATAACTGTGTCTCTTTATATGCTAATTTCGTAATGATAGTTCGTAATGGGTACTACAGCCCGTGACGGAAAATTGGCTATGCAAGTCCACGTCTTTGTATAGCCCCATATATAACAGTACCTCCTTATATCCGGTATTTTGATGATTTTAGTGACTTTATTCACCGGAATTGTTTCACAATTCGTATTTAATTTCCTAATGGGTACTACACTCTATGACAGAAAATTGCGTATGCAAGTCCAAGTCATAGTATAGCTCCCATATTATAGTATAATCCCATATATTTTAGCATGATTATTGACTTGATATGTTTCAAACATCGTATTAAAGTTCGTAATGGGACCAAAAATTGCATATGGGAGTCCAGGTCTTTGTATAGCCCCCATATAACCGTACCGCCCTATATTCGTTATTTTGAGGATTTAAGCGATATTATTCACCGGAATTGTTCAAATTTCGTATTTGAAGTTTCTAATGGGTGCAACACCCTACGACAAATAATTGCATATGTAAGTCGAAGTCATCGTATAGCCCCCATATAAGGGTATCTTCCTATATTCTGTTTTTTTTTTAAACTTCACCGGATCTGTTTCAAATTTCGTATTTGAAGTTCATAACAGTTAATTGCATATGCAAGTCTATGTCATCGTATAGCTCCCATATAACAGTATCTTCCTATATTCTGCATTTTTTTATAATTTTAACCACATTATTCACCGGAATTATTTCAAAATATAGTATTTTAAGTTCATATTGGGTACTACAGCCTATGACAGAAAATTGACTATGTAGGTCCACGTCTTCATATAGACTCCAAAATAACGGTAACGAATATAGGGAATATTGGGTATGAATTCGGTAACCAAATATTAACGGATTCTATGGACTTTGTCATTCCGTTTTTAACTCCTCGAAATATTTATAATAGACCCTACAAAGTATATATATTTTGGATCGGCGTAAAATTATAAACGATCTAGCGATGTCCGCCTGTCTGTTGTAATCACGCTATCTTTCGAACGAATTGAGATAGAAGACTAAACTTTTGCATGCATGCATAGTTTACTAGTAGGCGGGTTAAGTTCGTAACTGGGCCATGTCGGTCCACGTTTTCGTATACTTCCTGATATCCGGTATTTTCATGATTTTAGCGACAGTATTTACCAGAATTATTTCAAATTTCATATTTAAAGTTCGTAAAGGGTACTACAGTCTATCTTCCAAATCCAAGTCTTCGTACAACCCCCATATTACGGTAGGTCCCGACATTCGGTATTTTGATGATTTTAGCGACAATATTTACAGGAATTATTTCAAATTTCGTATTTGAAGTTCGTAATGGGTGCTACAGCCTATGACAAAAATTTTTGTATGCAGGTCCACGTCTTCGTATAGCCCCCATATGACGTTATCTCCCAATACTCGGTATATTTATAATTTGTTTTCGGCCTGACCGAACTTACTTCTTTTTAACTTGTTATAGCTATTATCTTTTTGGCAACACTGGTTTAAACAGCTCCCATGTGTTTCCTGTTTTGTTTTACGGTCGATCTCTTTCATATTGCTCTATTTCATCATATCACAGTTTATTAAAAGGCCGGCCTGGCCGAACCTGCTACTTTTCCACTTGTTATGACTATTATCTTTTTGGCAACACTGGTTTAAACAGCTCCCATATGTTTTCTGTTTTGTTTCACTGTCCTTCATATTGGTATTTTTATATAACCATCAATCATTTTACAAATGCGTATCGCTTGCAAATCATTGAGTTTTTATACTCTATACCACACTGTGGTCAGGGTATTATGTCGTTGTAATATGGAGAAGGAAACGAGATAGACCCATAGTTACTATTGAGGAGTCAATTTATGAATTTCCGTCCGTCTTTCTGTCTATGTATTTTTGTGAACAAAATGCAGGTCATATTTATTTTCCGATTGAGATGAAATTTTTCTACATTCTTTGTTTGGCCCAAGGACGAGCCCTATTGAAATTAGTATTAGTATTTTTTAATCATGAATTATAATTTGAAGCTTTTAGTCTTGCTAATAGAATTAAAATCCCTGAAGCTGAATAAAACACCACCAACTCTTTTCTTCAAAATCAAGACCTAAGATATATGCTGAAAAATGCATTTGGAAACTTGACCTTGACAAGGAGTTTACGTGTAAAAGATATTAATTCTTTATAGCAGAAATTACAACGTTGCCACTAAGAGAAAATCCAAATTTTTAAAAAGACATGGACAGAGATATGCTATGATGAAATAATCACTTTTGACATATAACAAATTTAAAGCCAGGCAAATTTGTGGTGTATTTACCATAAAGAAAAACGTTGTTAAGCTCGGCGAATTTTTAATATCTTTGACAATGGAAAATATCAAAGCATGATTTCTAACCGCGAATGATGATAGAATAATTCCAGAACGAATAGTAGATCATACAATTTGTTTCAGTTTTTTTACTCTGTGTAGAAAACAAAAACGTGTCCTTCATTTAATTAGCAGTACACATCAAATGGTGGCGCATATCATCATAGTACAATACATTTTTCAAAGCAACTATTAAACATTTACTCATCTCATTGAATGGACATTCAAACTATCATTGCGTGTTATAACTGTATTTGTTTTCTATTCTCCGATGCAAAAGATATCAAAGATTTTCTCTTTGTTTAAATAAACACACAAAAAGAAAATCAAATAAACAAAGCAAAGCTTTATTATGTAGAACAACAGACACACACAAGCACAGTCGATCTGAACGTTTGCATGCAAATGTACACAGACATGAGCTTGGGGAATTTCAATTGCTGTCAGATATCGTAAAAATACACAAATACAAAAATACTATAACTAGACGACAAGCCAAAAAAAAAAAAAAAAACAGTCGGAACAAGCATGTATTTCTCTACACAATTGCAAGTGGAAATAAGTCAGTGTGTAAAACAAAATATATGAAAAGTTCATAGAAAACAAGGGAAATTATTATATTTCCTTGGTGACTTTCGAAGTAATTTTAAATACATAATATTAATTGCCTATAGTTCTTCGGTTCTATATCGCATAGCAGATTTTCAGATTTCTATATGGTCTAGAAGACCTCTCGGTCTTCTGTGTCGCCATTGAGGTCTTCTATATTGCTTAGAAGACCTCCAGGTCTTCTTAATCGCATAGAAGATCTTTGTATAGCCCCCATATAACCGTACCGCCCTATATCAGTTATGTTGAGGATTTAAGCGATATTATGCACCGGAATTGTTCAAATTTCTTATTTGAAGTTCATAATGGGTGCAACACTCTACGACAGATAATTGCATATGTTAATCGAAGTCATTGTATAACCCCTATATAAGGGTATCTTTCTATATTCTGTTTTTTTTTATAACTTCACCGGATCTGTTTCAAATTTCGT